TGCCCTGGAGACACCCCCACCCCGAGCCCGCCCTGGAGACCACCCCCCACCCTGAGCCTGCCCTGGAGACCACCCCCCACCCTGACAGTGGCAGTGCCGGGCAGTGTCAGGCTGAGACCGGGCCACTTGCTCCAACGTCCACTCCAAGCAAGCCAAAGCCAGGTGCTGCCAGCCTGCCACACATTGCCAGACGGGTCTCCTGGTGTGGCACACGTGTTATGACCGCGGCTGCTGCCCCCAGCCCAGAGTGCACTTCCGGGTAACAAATCCAGCATCCTGAGGCTTCACTGCTCTCCTGAGGGTTTTCCAAGGTTAAATTTCCTTCACAATGACAGCCTCCTGTCACCTGGGCCCTGGTGACGAAGCCTTCGGAGAGGAAAGGACCCATCCAGGGCATTCACAGTGGGAGTGCCGTCCACCCTCCACCCCTGTCCTGGCCCCCGCAGTGGGGCCACCACCCTGGGTAATGGGATGCCTGAGGTCCTGGAGGAAGAAACAGGTGACCCACCTTCAGTGCACAGGGAGCAGCAGGCCTCCGATGGCAGCCCCCGCACCCCCCCGGGCTGAAGTTCAGGCTGTCTCATCCCTTGCCAGGAGCTCAGGGCTGAGCTAGGTTGGCAGGGGATGGGTTGAGGGGATCTGTTGTCCAGCAGGTTGCCCAGGCCCCACCCAGGCCCCTTAGAAAACACCTGTGAGAGCCCCGCAGGGCACTGTCGTGAGCACACCAGTGGGGACAGACGTCCAGGCAGGAGGGAGCAGCCAGACCCCCTCACCAGGGTCACCAGTGGGGACAGACGTCCAGGCAGGAGGGAGCAGCCCGACCCCCCTACCAGGGTCACCAGGTGAGCAAGGCTGGGGAACAATGGAGGCAGAGCCCTGCGAATGCCCCGCTCACCACCCCGCTCACTGCCCCGAGTGTCTGGGCTGTGGTGCAGGCATGGGGACCCAGGTGTGTTCAGGGGTCTCCTTCAGGGGAGGAGACCAAGCTGGGAGTCTGGGGAGGCTGAGGTGTGAGACAAGAGTAGGTGAGAGTGAGCCCCAGTGAGCATTTTCACATGAAAGGAAACTAGAGGGCCGAGTGCAGTGGCTCACGCCTGTAATCCCAGCACTGTGGGAGGCCGAGGCGGGAGAATCACCTGAGGTCGGGAGTTCAAGACCAGCCTGACCAACATGGAGAAACCCCATCTCTACTAAAAAAAATACAAAATTAGCCCGGCGTGGTGGTGCATGCCTGTAATTCCAGCTACTCGGGAGGCTGAGGCAGGAGAATCACTTGAACCCGGGAGGCAGAGGTTATGGTGAGCCAAGATCGCGCCATTGCACCCCAGCCTGGGCAACAAGAGCAAAACTCTGCCTCAAAAAAAAAAAAAAAAGAAGAAGAAAGAACAAGAAAAAAAGAAACAACAAAAGGCGAAGAAAGAACCACCCGAGATCACCAGAGGGAACCATGGCCGGAGCCCACCAGGACCGTGGAAGGTCCGTGGTCCATCAGCCTGGCTGGGGCACCTCAGCTCCTGGGCAGAGCAGCAAGCAGGGCCGTGCCCTGGTAAAGGAGGGCACAGTCAGCCCCAGACTAAATGCTGCCTTAGTCCTCCTAGCAGGGCTTAAAAGCAAGACCCCAAAGGACCAAACAGCTTCCAAGTAACTTCCTGGAGTCCTGAGCAAAGTGAGTATTTCCAAAAATAGTCAGCACCCAGCAAAATTCACAATCCCTGTTCAAAATCACCCATTCAAAAATCACCAGGCATGCAGGGAAGCAGGAAAACGCAACCCAGGATAGAAAGAGGACCAAACAATGGAGCCGACTCGGAAGTGACAGACGACCGGCAAGTCCGCAGGCCACCGAGGCACCTGCCACCGAGGCACCTGCCACCACTGCGCCCAGTGCTCCCGAAGCCAGAGGGCAGGTGGGACACAGGTGGGGACGTTCTGAGCAAAAACACATGCAGCCGAGCTGGGGTCACCCGTGGGAAGAGGGTGAAACACTTGCACGTGGGTAGAGCAGTATCTGCAAGGGGCTTTGTGGGCTCCAGGACCAGATGCCGTGAGGACCTCACCAGCGGCGGGGCGGCTGTCTCTGCCCCACCTCACATGCTCAGTGCATGTTCATTTCATCTTGTTTCATTCTCATTGCCATTTTACAGGTTGAGGTTCAGAGAAGTCAGAAGGCTTCCCAAGGCTGCACAGCCAGAAATGGGCACAGCGTCCTGGGGTGAGGCCTCACGCGCTCTGCGCCACCTACCCTCCAGGTCCCACCATCCTCACGAATTCAAGGCAAGGTTCTGGGACCCCAGCCCTCCAAAAGGGGAAGCTGAGCCCAGGAGGCACATCAGAGAGTTCGGGCCCATGAGTTTACCCTGCACTCACGCCCCGACTCGTCCTGCATCCTCTGTCGGGATGTCTGGATTCCAGAGTCCCCACCCCAATTTTCCAACCTTGCCTCAGCCTCGGCTTCTCCCTTTTGGGGTGGGACAGGGAACCCCCGCAGCAGGCGTGTGAGGGCGGGAGAGGGCGGGAGAGGGCAGGAGGTGCCCTACACCTGCCCGCCTGGACACAGGGAGACAGCGTGAGCACTGTTCCTGCCCCCACTCCCTCATCTGGGCTCCCAGGTACAGGTGCCGAGTCCCACCCAGAGGGGCCCTGCCACACCCGGAGGACTGACGAACCCAGACACAACCGTCTCTTCCCCTGGTCAGGGTCTGGGCAAGGGGCCCTGTGGGCTGCTGCTGTGAGTGTCCCTGCTGTGGCCAGGTATGTGAGGTTGCGTTTCCAACCGGGAGTGATTTGGCTTTGGTTACCTGGAGGGTCTGAGGACAAGCACTAAAGCCCCACCTTTTTCCGGCTTCCAGCAAGTTGCTGGTTCCGCAGCAGCCTCCAGGCCTGACCAGGCTCGGGGGCTCCCACACCTGGGGGCCAGGGTGGGGGTGACAAAGGGCCCCAGGCGACGGCTGAGAGCCTGCCCTGGTGGGCAGCAGAACAGCCACCAGCTCCCACCAGGCCCTGGCAGCATGAGTGATGGCAGGCCCAGCGATAAGAAACTAATAATTTATGCTTCCAGCTCCAGGGGCCGGCGCCGAGGGAAGGCTGGGCCACAGCCTCCCCCGCACTGAGCGGCCACAGTCCTTTATTGCACAAATTATTAACGACCAGAGAATGAATGACTCTGTAATCAGATCAGGCTGCCAGCACTTTTCATTGCGTTTATTTGTATAAATTCTGAAGTCAGGGTCTGCCCTAAGCTCAGCCTTGTGCTGGCTGGGAGCCCAGGCCCCCACCCAGACAGAGCACTGGTCCCTCGCCCTGCCCACGGGTTCCAGAGGACAGAGGGCTCAGGAAGGGGTGCAGGGAACTGCTCTGAGCCAGAAGCCGAGTTCATGGGCACCAAAGCAGCCCTGGGCCAGGGTCAGAGCTCTGTCCTTGAACCTGCCTCAGGGCAGGTTCCCAACTGTCCTCAGAATCAGGGGCGCCCAGGGTTTGGCAGCTGAAGGGGGGTGGGTCTGAGACCAGGAGAAGGCTCCCCAGCCCTGAGGGAACCCTCGTCACCCCTCTGCTCTCCTCCATCCAGGAGCCATCCCAGGGTTGCCCCAGGCCAGCTGGCTCTCCTGCCTCCATCCCGTGGCCTTCCCTGGAGCCCCAGGCTGGTCTCCCACCTGCCCCCTCCTTTTCTGGTCTTGCCTCGGCCGGGCCCAGGGGCTCTGGCTGTGGGTTTTCTGTGCAGCGCCTCGAGTGAGCCTGGCGCTGGTCCTCTCCTGAGCCCCCGTTTAATCTCATTGACCTCTCGTTACGCTACAGCGCATAAATTCAGATTTGGAGATCTTATGTTCCATCATAAATTGGGCTGGCAGACTTCCGATCAACAAGATAAAGCTGTCTTCTGCGAGGTGGGTGTTTTATTAGTCCCAGTCCCAGTGCCGCAGGTGGGGGCTGGGGAGTGCACGAGGGAGGGGCCTCTGCTTGGGAGCCTTCCTGCCTGGGCGAGGGGCTGAGTCCCTCCTGCCGCCCAGGCTGGGCCCCAGGTACCTGGCGAAGAAAGGGACCCGGGCATTGCCGCCTTCCCCTGCACCTTGGGCTCAAGCCTGGCCGCTGCCCTTGGGCTCTTCATAGGATCTCAGCCAATCCCTGCCGCCCAGCCTCGCCCACCCGCTTCTGGGGCCACCCCCGGGGTCATGCAGGGCTGTGCAGCATGGGGGCCCTGTTCTCATTCAGCCACCTGCAGGGTCACCCCAGTGTGATCCCTCAGCAGCCACACAGAAGACAGATGGTCCACAGGAGACTCAGAAACAGAGAAGCCTCACGCCAGGTCCACAGAGGCGCCCACGCCCGCCAAAAGGATGCCACGCACTCACCCTGCCCTCTGGGGAACACACTGGGAGTCCAGGACATCACCTTGGATGGGGTGAGGCTCCGTCCGTGACCTCAGAAAGTCAGTCTGGAGCTGGACTTGACATGGGAAACAGTAAAACACCTGAGCTTGCCGCCCTGAAAATCCCTGATGTGACACAGAAATCAGTGTGGACAGAGCGCCTACTGCCCCCAGTGACCCTGCCAGTGGGCTCTCAACCCACCTACCCCTTCTGCAGCAGCCGGTCACAGCTGTGGTCCTGCTGGGGCACACGGGGATGAGATCCTAAAATACACAGCAACTGCACAGTGGAACCCTGCATATCCCGTTTGGGTACAAGGAAACCCAGCGCAGCTCACGTGTGGGTATCCTCCGCTGTGTTAGCGTCCTGGCCCTCATACAGCACCCAGGCCTCGGGGCAAGGCCGTGTGCACACACCTATGGGATCTGAGTGTGCACTGGGGCCTGTGTCTGGGCTGCTGCTTCCCGGCCACTGGTGTCAGGATCTCCAGGACCCCCATGAGTGGTCAGTGGAGCAGAGATGGCACAGATGCCAGCGACCTGGGTCACTCTCTACCTGGGATGTGGGACCCCAGAGGCCACACCGTGGGTTTGCATCTGCCTCTTCACGCAGGAGCAGCTGCCACCCCTGCCTGCCCCATGAGGCTCTGTCACAGGGGACCTCTGTGGCATCCCGTGCTGCAGCCAGGGCCTTCGGACGGATGCTACGCCACCGTCCGTGCCTCCTGAGGCTGGCCTCCCTTTGCACTGGGCAACGTCTGCTGAAGATAAGGACGTCTTCACTGGGCCAGGCCTGGAGTTCTCCCAGGTTGTGAGCTCTTCTCCCTCTGATGAAGAGGATTCCTGTGGTCCAACTCCTACAAAGCACCGGGGACAAGAAAGCAGGCAGAGTCCCACCTGGGCAGGTGGTAGGAGTGGAGGGAGCAGGCAGGCAGCAGGGCTGCCCAGGACTAGGAGGCTGAGCTGCCCTGGGCGAGCCCCAGAGCCCACCCAGGGCTATACCCAGTCTGGCTGCGAGCAGGGCCCACCCTCCCCTGGACACAGTGGAGGACCCCGTGTATGTGGTCTTCACGGCCTGAGCACCTGTCTCGTGCCAGGCGTGTGAGATTGTTGGTGAATTAACAAAAGCCCTGCTCTCAGGGGGCTCCCATCCCAGCACATACACAGTCACATCTGGGGTCCAGCCTGGACCCCCCATGCAGTTGGAGAGGGTCTCAGAGCTGGGTCTGAGAACAGTAACTTCCAGCCACCACACCCCACCCCTCCCCAGCTGCCCTGGGCTCCGGCTTCTTGCACCTGAGGCTGCTGTGCAGGGCTCCCAGCTGGTGCCCCTCTCCTCTGAAGCTCGGGGGTCAGTGCAGCCTGGCATCCTCATCGGGCCTGTTATGCGGGTTCTGGTCTCTCTGTGACCACAGACCCGCCAAGCCCACCAGCTAGTCAATGTGGAGCCAGCACAGCAGGAGCCCGACCTGCTAGGGCCCTCAGAACAAGGATCGTGGTCCCTGAGGCCTTCACACAGGATCTGTGCTGAGAGAGAGCTGATGTGGACGGCGGCACCATGGCCACGGCAGAGGCACCATCCCTCCACCCTTACTCACGTAGGGATCCGCTCTTCTCTCACACTGGGCCCTGCTGGCACATTCCAGATGTGGGGGACGGGCTGGAGCCCAAGGCCTGCGTGCTGGGCCCTGGCTCTGCACCCGGCTCCCAGCGTCTCCCTGGCCCAATGTCAGAGAGGGTGCCACAGCAGTGCTTCAGGGGCTCCTGCCATAAGGGCTGAGGACTGAGGACCACCTAGGCCCACGTGCACCCAGCAGGCGGCCGCTGCATCCTCTGATCCCCTCCACAACCCAGGCCAGGTCCAGGCTGCAGGCCGGCAGCGTTGGCAGGGGGAGGACAGGGAGGAATTGGCCGAGTGCATTCACTGGGACAGACCCTCCCGCTTCCTTCAGGCTCTGGAGAATTCTATTGCTTCCCTTTGCCTAGCCTCAAGGTGCTGGGGCTTCTACATCATTTACAGAGGAATTGGCTGGGATGTGCCGGGCCTAGCACTGTCTCCGGTGTGCGTGTCAGCACTCTGGTGACATGGCAGGTGAGGACCACGGCACCACCCCGCGATCTGGCAGTCAGAGCCCACCTGTGTGTGTCTGCAGGAGCATCCCTGACCGCACACCATGGGAGGGCAGGGAAGGGTCCCTCGGGCCCCACCCCTTTGTTCTTTCAGTGGTAAAGGTTCAGGTCAGTGGACAGACTGGACTTGGAAACACCTTCTTATGTCCTCGAAACGACGTGGCGTGCAGCCAGCTCACGGCACCCAAAGGCGCGGGCAGGTTGAAGCGCAGCGGCTCCTCCTGTCTGACCAGGAGCAGGTGCGTTCCTGAGGTCCTGGCTGCTTCTGCAGGAGCATCTGAGGGAGCGCAGCTGATTTACCACAACCCCTGACCTCCTGGGTTAGCCTTTCTGTCCAACAGCACCAGGACTGAGCCCTGGCACTGGGCAGGCCGCCTTGGCTGGGGATCATGTGTGCCTGGGTCTGTGCGGTGCGGGTGCCCGCAGGCCCTGGGTCTGTGTTGCGCACCGGCCTTGGAGGGCAGTGCACATCCTGTCTGTCACCGTTGTCCCTGTGGCCATGGGAGGGTCTGTCTGTGCTGCGTGTGTGTCGTGCGCGTGAGTCTGGAGCTGCTGCGCCACACACAGGCATGCAAGGTGTGGGCACACCTGTGCTTCTGAGCACGCGTGCCCTTGCTGGAGGCCAGGCACACACACAGCTGTGCATCCTTGGCCCGAGGTCAGCTGTGCCACACCTGCGGGCTGCAGGATCTTTTCCGCGTATCTCCCTCCATCACCAGAAGTAAACTCAGGACTGAGGCTGACGGGCTGGCCTGAGCGCTGCTCACCTGCACCTCCTGGCTGCACCTGTGGCCCCGGACTCGGCTTCCCCATCTCTCTCCTCCCCACCCCACCTCTGGGTCCTCTCTGGCTGGGGCTGTACCACATCTGGGCTCAATCAATGGTTGACTGATTGATGAGGGGATGGATGAGAGGCAATCTAACAGAAATGCTGGGGAGCCTGGGCAGGCACTCCCGGATGGCGGAGGCGGCGTGCGGGCTGGGGCAGCAGCCCCTGGCGCCCCCACACTCCCCCAGGACGTCTGGGGTCACCGTCTGCTCCAGCAGCCCCAGGGTTATTTATGACCTCCTCCCTCTGGCGGGAGGCAGCGGCTCCAGCCTCAGCCCAGCAGCGGAGGGGCCCCAGCAGGGGGACCCGGAGCAGCGACAGAGGCACCAAGGCCCAGGCAGGCGGGGCTCGGTGGGCAGGAGGAGGGGCAGTGGAGTGACACCGCCACGTCCCTGCCTTGCTCGGGATGATTCTAGCAACAAAACTCCATTCTTCTGGCCTCTGCCGCCGGCCTGAGGAGTGCAGGGGAGAGTGGGACCCAGGTGTCCCAGACCAAGACAGGTGTGTGAGTGGACACGGGACACAGGTGTGCGAGTGGAGGACACGGGACAGGTGTGAGCGAGTGGACACATCACACAGATGTGCAAGCAGACACAGGACACGCAACACAGGTGCGCAAGAAGGGACAGGTGTGAGCCAGCGGACATAGGTGAGTGAGTGGACGCATCACACGAGTGCATGAGCGGACACGGGACACAGGTGCATGAGTGAACTCGGGACAGGTGTGAACCAGTGGACACGAGACACAGCTGTGAGCGAGCGGATACAGCACATGTGTGAGTGGGCGCGGACAGTACATGTGTGAGCGAGTGGACACAACACAGATGTGAAAGTGGACACGAGATACAGGTGTGGGAGTGGACAGTGTGCTAGTGGACACAGGTGGGAGTGGACACAGAACAGGTGTGAGCATGGACACGGACACGGGTGTGGGCATGGGACACAGGTGTGTGTGAGTGGACACAGGATATGAGTGTGTGAGTGGACAGGACCAAGGAAGGGGCACAGCCCCACGGAGAAGGATGATGCTGGGGGTGAAGAGGCCTGGTCATGTGGGAAAGTGGCCTCCGAGCAGGTACCTGTTTCCCAGGAAGACAAGGAGGTGGTGGGGAAGGCCTCCTCACCCAGCCCCTGGAGGGGCCTCCAGAACATCAGGGAGTGGACGGTGAGGATGGGGGGTGCCTCCAGCTTTGGACCCAGTCAGGGTCTTTTCAGGAAGACACCCGGGTCCTCCAGAGACAGGTGGAGCCAGACTGTGGGCTGGAGGTTAGGCTGCAGGGCCCAGGTGAGCTCCCACACCCAGCCAGAAACCCAGGGCCAGCCCCAGGCCCCTCCTTAACCGCACTGCGGGCCTGAGCATGGTGAGACACCGGTGAATAGGGGAGGGCTCTTGGAAGGGAAAGCAGGCCCCTCTGCTGGCCCAGGTCAGAGGAGAGCCTGGCCCAAGGGCCTCAGACCCAGAGAGGCACTGCCATGCGGACCTGCGCCTCCCCAGCCTCCCTCCCCAAATCGCTGTGTGAGCATCAGGGAGTCAGGTGCAGGCGAACCTAGAAGGAGAGTGAGGTGCAGGTGAATCTAGTAGCCCGCACAGGCAGTAGGGTCAGGGCTGCGGACAGTGGGCGCTCACGGTCAGTCCACATGGCCTCCAGCTGGCCCCAGGAGTGGACTTTCCACATGGCATCGGACCTGAGAGAAGACACAGACTTCAGGGGAGGAAGACACAGAACTCGCTGGCAGCCACGTCTCGGGTCAGGGATGCAGAGAGGTTGATAGCACCAAGGGTGGCCATGTAAGGAAGGGTCACTCACAGCCACACCCACACTCCCACCTGGCCCCTCAGACCCCAAAAGACCAAGGAGCCCCCACAGAAAGGGGCCAGGATGGGAGGGGAGGCTTCTGGGCATGCTCCTTGTCTGAGCAGAGCACCACTGGCCCAGATCTCGCTCCGCGGGTGGGCTGGGGGGCCAGCAGAAGCCTCTGGTGAGATAAGGTGAGGGAGCCCAGCGTGGTCACCCGGGGTCAGGTTTACGCTCAGGGGGGCTGATCTGGGAGGAGGTGGTGGTGTGGGAGGGCGTGCACCCTGCCAGCCCCCTGTCCCCCACCCCCACCCTGACTAACGCCTTCCTGCTGGGGGCTGTGGGGTGACAGGAAGCTCTTGCCCCACCCCATGGCCCTGGCGCCGTCCTGGCGTGAGACACTGCGCATTTGAAACAGCTGTGTGACTTCAGGAGCGTTACTTGACCTTTCTGTCTCAGCGTCCTCACCTGCAAAAGACTAAAAAGGAACTCGGTGGCTCAGGCGAACTCACTCCTCTCAAGTGCATAGGAAGGGGCAGGAACGCGCGGGGAGGTGCTGCCCTGTCACTCACAGAACACTTTGCCCAGGCCGCACACTACAAATCCACAGTCTCGTTCCCTGCAGGTGCAGAGACCACCACGCCCTCCCGGACACCAACGCCCACCATCAGATTCGCTGTGCAAAGCCCCAGAGCCGCGGGCGCAGGCTCACACCGCGGCGAGCAGCCCCCGGCTCCCTCCCTCCGAGAGGAGCCCGGTCCG